TATTAAATGTATTACTATTGTTAACAGTAAATGGCGAGTCAGTCGCTAATTAATTTAAAGCATTGTATAATCTAGTGTTTTAACCTGGGTTAGATAATAGTAACCTGATGGAGGTTTTCTTATATCAAGAAAATTCTGGGCTAAAGATCACTGTAAATCCTTTCTGATTTAATTTTGAAGCCAAAATATTAAATTTCTTTAAACTTTCAGTAACAATTTCTCAGTAACCATTTAATCAAATTTAGTAAAACATTTTATTTTGATTTCATATATTTGTAAAATTAAAATAAAAAAAAGTTCAATAAATTTGGTTTAGTGGTTATCAAGAAACCTTCACTAGAAGTTTTGAAAAAGCTTGACTTGAAAAAAAAAATCTAAAATTGGCAAATTTTTTCTTTTTAAAATTTTAAACAATAATTTCTTTATACCCATCTATCAAAATTCAATAGAAATTTTTTTATTTTAATTCTGCAAGTATGAAGGATTAAAAAAAAAAAACTTTTTTTACCAAATTTGAATAGACAAATATTGAGAAATATTAATTATAAGCTGAAAAAAAGTTTGGCTGCAGCTTTTTTATTTTGGATATCTAAACTTTAAACAAAGATAACTTGGCACTTATCTGTAGTGTTCAAAGATAAGCCGGCTTATTACGGCTTGCTGCGACTTAATGCGGCTTATCACGTGATAAATTCGAATTTATCACAAAGCCATGTGATATCATCGAATTTATCATGTGATATTTTCGCGATTATCACATAGCTTGGTGATAAATTCGAATTTATCACGTGATAAGCTGCATTAAGCCGCAGCAAGCCGTGATAAGCCGGCTTGTCTTTGAACACTACTTATCTGATCAAATTTGAAACTTTTTTTTATTTTAATTCTATTAGATTATAGAATTAAAATAAAAAATTTGATCAAACAAGATCAGATAAGTTCTGAGTAATTATTGTTCAAATTTTAGATATCTGTAAAAAAAAGTTGTGGCCAAATTTTTTTTTACCTTTTGATTGATATTTCTCAACATCTGTCTATTCAATTTTAGTTATTTTTATTTATTTTAATCTTGTAAACTTCAGAATCAAAACAAAAAAAATTTCATTAAAATTGGATAAATAATTGTTGAGCAATTATCAATTAAAGTTTAAATAAATAATTTTATTGCAACTTTCTTTTTTTAAATTTTTTTACAAATCTTTAAATGATGTTTTCTCAATGTCTATATATTCAAATTTAATAAATATTTTTTTTATTTTGATTTTACAAGTATGTAGGATTAAAATAAAAAATTTTACTAAAATTGAATAGACAGGTGTTGAAAAATATTAATTAAAAGCTGGAAAAAAAATTTGGTTGCAGCTTTTTTTTTACAGATATTTAAAATTTAAACAAAGATTACTTAACACTTACTTGATTATATTTGATTAAAATTTTTTATTTTAATTCTATAATCTAATAAAATTAGAATAAAAAAGCTTTGATCGAATTTGACTAAATAACTGCCGAGTTATCTTCATCTTCCTACTTATAATATGCTAATTTCTATTACAAAAAAAGTAATAGGCTGTTACTTTTTTTGTAACAGAGACTAACATATTATAAGTAACTCTGTAAATCAGAGATTTTTAAAGTTTGCCTTAGTGGCAACATCACATAACTTTTGCTATTTCGCATTTCTGCGAAATTGGCAAATTCAAACTCCACCAAAATGAAGTTTGAAACTTTGCCAAGTGGCGAAAATGATGTTATTGTGTATAAAAATCTCTAAGAACAAGCTTAAATAAATATATAGTAGTAATCATTATTATTGCTTAACCTTTTTATTTAACAGGAAATGAATTTGATGTCTTTACTTAATCGTTAGATATTTGGTATATATGAGATCTTTGCTAGAAAAATCACCCTTTGGGATTTTCCAATTAGGCCAATTTGGAAAAGCTTGGACCAAAGTACTGCTTCTTATTCATATATAAACCATTTTTTCACTTTACTGGTTCGACAGTTTATTTAATAAACTATTAAATCAATAAAGCAAAAGATGATTTATATATGAATAAAAAGTGGTATTCTAGTCTAAGCTTTTCTGAATTGGCCTGATTAGAAAATTCTGAAGGGTGATTTTCTAGCAAAGATCTCATATATTTATATATTCGAACTAAAGAAGTTAAAATAATTTGAAATTAAAAAGCATTAATTACTTTATGTTACTTATTAAATAATTGGACAAATCTTTGATTTTATAATTAAAATTGAATTTAGTATAAGACTAAGTAGTATAAGTAGTACAAGTAGTAATAAATATATATTAATTGGTTTAAGTTTAATTCCTAACTTTATAAAGCCAAATAAATAATGTAAATATTGATGATAGATTTTATCTTTGTTCTAAAAGTGATCCATATCTATTTCTCAAAATCTATTACAGGTATAAGGCTATGCAAAGTTAATTTTTTATTTTGCATTACATGGATTTCAAAATTAACAGTCAGTTAGATTTTTTTGATTTTTTTTTTAATTCTACAGTAAATAATAGACTCATATTCATATTTAAAGTCACACATAATTAATTTTTTGCTTTACATAACATGTAATCAAAAAATTAGACTGGCAATCAAATTTTTTTTTATCAGTTTTATCAGACAATTCTGTAAAAATAAGGTTTCTATCATGTAATACTGGAATAATTTATGGGGGAGAATTAAATAGCAAAAAAATAGAACAATTAGCATAATTGGAATCTAAAAAAAAAAAAATCATAAAATTGAAAAATAGGTTAGTGGATAATGCAAAATGAAAAATTTACTTTGTTTGGCCTTAGTGATGGGCATATTGGCAAAAAATAATACTTTTTTTTAATACTCTATATAAAAAAAAATCTATAACCAAAATATTAAATTCTAACTTTAAAGAGCTATTAGAATGATTTTATAATACGAACTTTCTCATTCTAACACTAATGATTATCCAGATCTTAGTGATTTGAATTATCTAGATAATTCAGAAAAGATGTTAGAATTATTTTAGAATACAAAACTTTCTCATTCTAACATTAACCGTAAAGAACTATTAGAATAATTATGTTGCCTTATTTACTGTATTAATTGTTCTATATTGTATAGATGATTGATTGCTAAAACTTACATGACTGCTGTCTATACGTGCTATAGAAATTAGTTTTGGCTGTGCTAAAAATATTTACAGCTGTTTTTATAAATTCTGAGACACCCTAAAAAAAATTTGCCGAAGTCTATTTGGCTAAATTTGATAAGCTATTTATCTCAGTACTATACAGTATAAATGCATAATATATATGTATTTGTTGCTAATATATTCATTGGAAAATTAGTTAATTCGTGATCTGTTTATCAATCAGTGAAAATTATTAGCAGCATGTGGGGCAGATTTTGTAGATCAATTAGATAAATCTCACTTTAAATAGCGCTATTGGTAATACAACTTTTTTTATTACATATAGACAAATAGTTTAAATCTTCGAGAATCTATTGCTTTATTATTATTTTTTTTAATTAAAAAAAAGAAAGTTATTTCCCAGCATCACCAGATTCTGAAATAAAAATTATCTTATGATTTCACTATTTAATCTAACATAGTAAGTGACATTTACCTGCTCGATCGTATTTAGGTTTATATTTGACTACACAACTCACTATTTGATTCACAAAAAGTCAGATCTAGCATAACATAGTAGAGAAGTCGAAGCAATCACTTTAAGCACTGTAAATAGCCAAATACAAGATCCAGGTCTGTTATATTTCACTAATTTTAAAGCTTATAATTAGACCTGTGGTCTCTTGTATGGGTATGGGTCTGATAATTGGAAGGTTTGTTCTATTTTCATAGTATTTTTATAGTTTTTTCCTATTTATATACCCCGGGTCTTTTACATTTTACCAAAATTTTATCTATATTGTAGACCCAGATATAGTATATAGTAGGTCTACTATCTAGGGATCTTGTATTCGGCCATTTATGGTATTTCATCATTATACTTCTCAAATCCCTTTTACTTTTAGCACGTGAACATTAAGAACTATAATTTATATTTATTCAATTGTAGATAAGTATCAAAATTTATTCATTTTTATTTAAAATCAGAAAGTATTCAACCTAGTTAATAGGCGAAATATAGTGGTTTACATATTGACAAAAATCAGAACTGGTTTTATAAGCTAAAATTCTAATTTATATAACTTATATTTGTAATTAGGTAATATTAATTATCTTGACAAAAGCACTATAACAAAGTAGATATTCATATATGTACTGTATAAGCGCGAAATAATGCTTGTGAGCATTATTTGAAAATCGGGTCCTTCAAAAGTATCTTACATAGTCTCGAATTAGCATTCATAATTGTTCCAAATTAACACGCATCCTATTAGAATATAATTTATTGTTAGACAAATAACTTATAGCTAACTCTTTGTAAGTACACTTTATAAGTGTATTTCACATTTACATTTTTTCTATAAGTTGTATTATTATTTTGATTCGTCTAATATAATTATGTAACTTTATATATAGATTATTTTTTATAAGTACACACTCTGCAAGCGTACTTTCCTAACAATATGTATTGCTTTTGGTAATAGACAAATAAAAAATCGAATTGACTAAGTGAAATGACAAAACTTTAATTTTGCGAATAGTATTATTTAGTATCACAATTTACGATTATTTTACAACCAAGAATTTGTAACAAATTCAAATTAAAATTGTAAAAACTAATGTTTTAGTAATAAAAACTTGAAACTATTGTAAATCACTTTTTTCACACAACTTAAAACAAAATTTTGAATGCTATCGTTTTTCAATAAAAAAATAAAGCTCAATTATATTGACTATCCCAACAGATATTATAATCCAGATAGTATTATTACAGTGAGTTAAGAATTTCTACTTTGTACTAATTTTAAGTACGTTCATTCAAAACTTTTAAAGCTATGTTCATGATGTTCAGCCGTGGTTTTTGTTATCTAATTCTGAATAGTAGTTAGTTTAGGAACTTCTTCAGTAGAAATTTCACCTTCATCAGCACATTTCAATAATTCTCTGTATATATCTTGAGCATTGTAACGATCACTTTTGTTTGCATTTTCTGCTATAAAAAAACCTTCTAACAAAGCCCTCACTTTTTTTGACATTTGTTTTCTAGCACTTTTCTTACCAAATTTTTGGTTTTCTTTCAGAGCCCAACCCAAACGCAAAGAAAATATATTATCAATATCTTTAAAATTTCATTAGTAAGTAGTTTTTAATATTATTTCAAAAAAAATTATTATTACTTACTGTTGTTGGGTTTTATTATCCACTTTATCCATAAGTACCTCAATTAATACTTCATTATCTAATTTTAATTTTAGTATCATATTACCTGAAATGCTTTATAAATTCAACCTTATTTTTTTACTTATTTGCATGCGTGTTTGTTATTAGTTTCGATTCTAATTTTTTTATTAACTCATGCTTATTTTCTTTTTCATCAATTTTAACACATCTTAGATGTAATTGCTTTATTAGACTTTCCTTTGATAATCGATCTGGGCGTATATCTGTAATATACAGTATATATATTAGTATTAGCTACATTTTAATATAAAGTTATCGTGCAAACTCTTATAATCATAGATTTTTTTCTTCTTGTACATTATTACATTAGCACAACAATCTCGAATTAAAACTTAGTCAAAAATAACTTGAAAATCATGATCATAATTGCACGATAATATCAATATTGGATTATGTGATGATAAATATCATAAAATTTGTTCTGCCAAAGCAAATGATTGGCTGAAATGTGCCACTGCGCAGCACATGTCAGCCAACCATTTGCTCTGACAAATCAAATTTCATGATATTAATCGTTGCATGACTAATATCTTATACTTAGAACATACGTACGTGCAGGATTTGGTGGTGGTATATACCAATTTGAAATTGGTGTTGTTGGGGTTGAATTATGTGAAGTGGGTTTATTTATTTCATGTTTTTGCAACTTTTCTAATTGTGTCTGAGTAAATATTGTTCAATCACCAATATTCGGAATAGACCGTGCTAGTATACAACCTTCCAAATCTTCATCAATTGGCCATTGCCATTCAAACCAATTTGAATTTCCAGATAGCGTATTACTTCTAGTTCCTATAATAGTAATTTTTTTTTATAGCAATATACTACGTAATTTAATTTTACTATATTGACTATGTATAGTATTACCTCTATCACGATTAGGTTGTAAATATGATACAGAAGTTTCTCGAATTCCCTAAATTGCATTTTCAATATCTTGGCCAGTTTCTATATCGAATCCGAGTCAAACATATTTCTTAATAGCATGTGAAATCTAAAATTTTTAAATATTAGTTTGTTATGAAGGGGTACTACTTAGAGTAGTAAATAATTTATTGCCATACTATATTTTTATTACTTTGCACTTATATTGCTTTTTTTTTTAACAACCTTACTAGTTTTTCAATTCAATTGCTGTAATTCTTGTAAATTAGTCCAGTTTTATAGTAGAAATTGGTTTTATAACACGATGTTGAACAACTTTATATTATAAAGATCTGTACTCTAACTCTAATATAGTTACCAAATTGCTATTTTATTGGCAATAAATTATTTACTACTATGGGTAGTATCAAAATTTTTATATTGCGAAATAAAAAAAACTTATATGAACCTGTGCATGATGAGAATTGATCGTAGTTTTTGCCTCAACCACTTCAAAAAATATCCATTTTTTTACTTTTATGTTATACTATTCATACCAAAAACTTAATATCATCATTAAATCGGCATTGTGATAATGCCCACCATTATCAGATATTATAATGATTGATTTTGGTTTTTGATCAAGATTTTTGATTACTATATGTAGCGAAGAGGCGGTAAACCAAAAATCTTGTCTAGTGTCTGTAGCCTAGTGATCAAATGCTTGAATTTGAAAAGTATTTGAATCTAATTGCCGTCTATATACTAAAACAGAATGTAGGGACCATCCTTTCTTTCCAAACTAGTCATTTTTGGTTTCATGTGCAGTTTTAAGCAAGATTTTCATTTTATAATCAACTAAAACCAATGCTATATTATCATCTAGATCTAATAAATTAGCATTAAATTGCGCATTTAAGTAGACCTTTCTTGTTTGATGAGCAAGATAATATATCAAATATTCTTTCAAATCATTAAGCTCTTCGTGATATATAGCAGCCGTGCTATCCTTAATCTTTTGAAAATAATTGAAAAACTCTTGACATTGATTACATATTTGCGTATGATATTCAGTACATTGACCAAATGCGTAAAGCAAGCAATGGTTGATATATATATTGTAAGAGGTAGTTCCATTTGTTGCGATATTAAAATGTCCTTCATAATCACGTTTTAAAAATCTCTTTAGATTATTTGTCGCAGTTATTAATTGTTTCTAATATACAAAAAACAAATTATGTAAGTATTAATAATTATACCCAAAAAATTGAAATTAGATAATACTTTTTCTAAAGACTGTATTACATATTTATCAATAAACTCAGCAAGATCAGAAAAAATCTCATATCTGTACTGTTGACAAGTATGACATAATCCTCCTAAATCCTCACGATAAGTATATTTATTGCCTTCTAGTTTCTTGAAAAAACTTGCACACTTAATTCTATCAGGATATTGTTCATGAAATTTTTCCAAAAAGTTTTTTTAGTATGTTTTAGATAATGTACAGGTTCGTTTGTTGCAGTATTAGTTTTATACGAACTCATAACAACATTTGCTTTATCCATTAAAAATGCATCCAAAGCCTGTTGTTTTTTAGCTGAAATTTTTTGATGTGTAATAATTGGCTTATTTAATACTACACATCCAGGGCCATGAAGTCGAGCATGCTTACGTGCATAACGAATTGCATCATTGAATACCTATTAGCAAGTATATTTTATATAATAATTAGCAATTAAGATTATAAAGTTATACTAAAAATACTCTCAAACCAATTTATATAATTGGCAATTAAGATATTATTTAAGTATCGAATTAAGTAAAGGCAGATTTTAAATTTTGCCAAAATTATAAAGTTTTATATATTAAAATGCTAAAACTAGTTTTAACATTTTGATACATTAAAGTTTTATAATTTTGCCAAGTAACTTTATATCAGTTATTGAAAAATAATTACTTATATTTAGATTAGTAATAATATCATTGTAGGTAAAATTATCAGCAATAATGGAAAGTATTCGTGTTTTACCATTAAAGCCACGCTTGTTTTTGTCTAATGTTTGACAAAAACATTCCCAGAAAGTTAAAGTATGATTTTTAAAATTAGATGGTATCAGATTTAAAAAACCCTGCTTATATAATAATTCTAAATTAGTTTTGTCAATTTCAGAATTATGCGATCTTGACCAAAATGTAACCTAAAATATCAAAATAAATATTTAATTAGTAGTCAAAATTAAGTAATTAGCTGATTATTAAATCTTTTTTTGCTTACTTCTGATTGATCTTTGTTAAATGGCATAATTTCAGTACATCCTATAGCCTTTAACATAGCTTTCCACACACATAGTTCTTGATCATTTATAATGTAATTAAATGGATATAGTATATGTAAACTTGTTTATAATTCTATAATTGTTAAAGTTTCTTCTTGCCATTGATTAAACCATTCAAACCAATTTACATAAGTTGATAGTCTACGTTTTAGATGATAATTGTAAACACATTCCATTATTTGATTATTGTTCCATTTGTCTAATGAACAGGTAGGTATTTTAATAGACTGAGTTAAGTTCTGTGTATGTGGTTTTTCTAATCCAAAAAGTTTTTTTCCATTGTATTGTTGTAAACAATTAACTTGTTTCCATAATAAATCAGGATCAATATTGGTAAAAGTTTTTGAAACCTCTATTTGCTTATTATAAATTATGAGCTTGCATTTATCATCATCAAATTCCTCAAAAAAAATACATTGTTGTTTTTGATACATATATATAAAAGCAGCTTTATAACTAGTTCCCGCATAGTTCCATTCAGATTTACTTAATTTTCCTATACCAAGGATCCAAACCTGTAACTTTTCCAAGATAAATACATACATTTGAAAAGGAAGGTCTTGAATTAAAATATTGAATATAATTGGGTTATCAAATCCCATTATAGCTGGACCTGAAAACTTTATTGCTGTTTTCATTATTTTTTGATAAACGCTTGAGATTGCATTAGTAGGTGATAAAAAAATTTCACTTTGAATATCTTTAGATACCCAGGTACTGGTTTATACTCTGACATTGATTCAACTATCTCAATTATAAAATCAAAATTATGAAGAGTTATTAATGTTTTTATATTAAGTTGTATAGGATAAAGTAAAATTATATTATCAGATTTGTCATTTTGTCGAGATAACCACCAATTATGGCAATAAGGCCCATAATGTAAATTTTGAATAATATAACCAGCAAAAATCAATGTAACCACATATTCTTTTTGTTTTGATATTTTTTTTGTATGTTGTAATATAGGAATGTACAGATTCTAAAAACTACTACTTATATGTATTTTCATTATCCCTGTATATATGTCTTAGTCAGATGATTTCACTGATCTACAAATAGATCACGAATTAAAAATGGTTTTTAAACATTTTTAATAATATTATTAAAATAGTTTTAATATATGTTGTTTATATTATTATTATTAAATTATTACTAGTAATTATTATGTTTTTTTTTTTTTTTTTGGTATTAAGATGAGGCCTTGCTTGTATCTTTATTGAGTAATTTATATAAGTAATTACATAGAGACTATATAAAAACTAAATTTGTATAATAACAAGTATTTATAAATTACATGCAAGAATGGGAGCTCAAACTAAAAGCTAAAGCTAATTATCTGCGACCTAAACATACTAGAGTGGTCAAGACTCACCTAGGTTTTAATAGTAAGTATATAATTTGTGAGAATGCTAAACTGTATCCATGCTGTTGACCATTGGCTGAATTTGTGTTATGCCTGCACTTCAGGAGGACAGTTATTATTCTCGTGCTGTTGGTCTGGTGGACCACACAGATAGCTGTAAGTGAATCTTTGAGGTTTTCTCTGTTAGCTTTGTACTTGTTTATGTAAGATCTGTTTAGCTTGATTGGAGGTTTGTATATTGTGTTGCTTTTTCTATTTTGCGAATCTTTCACAATATGGCTTCCAGATTTGCTCATAGGTCTCTATAGAAATGTGTAAAAGTATCCAGATTGTGATATCTGCTGCCTCTTTGTGTTGTATACCTACTGCTTGTAGTGCTTGTAGCAAGTAAGATGAAATGAGTCCTTTTATAGTAGTAGATAGTATGTGTATTTGGGGATCAGAGGAGAGAATGTTGTTGAAGGAAGTATGAGATTCAATAAGGTTTATTATTGCTCTCTATTGTGTTAGGTTTAATCGCTAAGGTGTTTGGTGATCATTTTTGAGATTGAAAGGTGAATGATTTGGCTAATTGTTTGTGGATTATGGCAGGTAAGCCAATGCATGGCTGAGTCCTGAGTGTTGCATGCAAAGCAGGTATTGACTGAAAATATTTTAGGCATAATATTGTGGAAGTGATAGTAGGTTGGCAGTTCATTAAGCAAGTTTTTGACTCTGAATGCTTTCATCTAGTTTAATTTAGGAGATATAATATTGGATGTGGCTTTTGAATTGTTGTTGAGATAGAGCCAAGTTGAGCTCCAGTCGATTGTTTGAATATGACTCTCCCATTCAGCATTGCATTTTTGTAAGAACCACATTGCTATTGTGTAAGCTCTGCCAATGTTTTTAATTAGTTGTCTAGTGGGTTTTTCTATCGGTTGTCCTTTCCACTGAATAATAAAGTTAGAGTTGTAATGTTGGTATAGTTGAATTGAAGGGTATGGGTTGATGATTCTTGATGCTTCTTAGCTAGAGAGTCAGCTAAGTTGTTGAACAAGTTGTTTGTATGCAGGCCTACCGAATAATTGATTGTGGGTGAAATTAATTGCAATTATTTGACCTCAATTAATTGATTGGTGGCGCAGCCATGTAGAGTCAATTAATTGCAAT